CACGTTTTACTATAAGCAACAAGAAGAAACAGGTTGACATAATTAACTGGCTATAAATCTACTTTTCTATTAGATTACTTAGCTCAATAGTCATATTTTCATTCTGCACATAACTAGATTTGCTCAACTTTCTGCCACTATTTGGCAGGGATTTCCTTTCCTCCAGTTACCAATACAATTTTTCTAATCCATGCTTTTGGCCAAGATGACACCTAAAGCAAAGAAGGAAACTCCTGCCTCTCCCAAAGAAAGCTGAAGCTAAATCAAAGGCTTTGAAGGCCAAGAAGGCAATGCTGTGGTGTCCACAGCCACAAAAACAAACAAACAAACAAAAAAAACACAACAACAACAACAAAAAACTGTACATCACCCACCTTCTGGAAGCCCAAGACTCTTCAGCTGCTGAGGCAGCCCAAATATCCTTGGAAGAGCATCCCCATGAGAAACAAGCTTGACCACTATGCCATCATCAAGTTCCCCAGACCACTGAATCTGCCATGAAGAAGACTGAAGACAACAGCACACTTGTATTCACGTGGATGTCAAGGCCAAAAAACACCAGATCAAATAGGCTGTGAAAAAGCTCTATGATACACTCTAATCAGGCCTGATGGAGAGAAGAAAGCATATGTATGACTGGCTCTTGATTATGATGCTTTGGATGTTGTCCACAAAATTGGGATCATCTAAACCATGTCCAGCTGGCTAATTCTAAATACTTACTTTTTTCACCATAAAAAAAGAGATCTTTTCTAATCCATTAACACCTTATCTACAGCTTCCTTAAAGGTTATCATGCATCAACAATTAATTTCTTAAAGCTTTCCAAACTTTTAACATCCTCCTTCAAGTCCTTCTACCTTCTGCCCACTGCCAGTTCCAAAGCCACTCTTACATTTTACGTGATTTTGTTTCTTTGTTTTTGTCAGCATCCCACTTCCATGTGGCTTAACTAGTCCCACTTCTAAGATGGTTTACTCATACGGCAGTTGACAGGATGCCTCTGTCACTGACTGTTCGACAGAATACCTCATTTCCTCACCACAAATACTTCATCATGCTTCCTAGTCTTCCAAAACAAGTAATTCAAGAGAGAGAAAAAGAGGCTGAAGCTACCACATCTTTTATAGTTGTTGTTTTACTTAGATTCAAAAGTGACATATCACAACCTGTTGGTCGCACAAGCCAACCCAACTACTGTGTGAGAGAAAATTACACAATGGTGTAAATAACTAGCTACAGGGATCATTGGGTGCTATTATGGAGGTTGGCTACCACTTTATTCAAATCACAACAAGCTTTTTGATGATCATATTTATGAGTGTTAGAAATTAAATGCTAATTGAATATCTGGTGATATTAGTAAATTGTGAATTATTATTTGTGCCATCAAAGTAATTTTAAAGATCCCATATCTTTAAAGATCCTTTATATTTTAAGATACATGTTGAAATATTTAGAGATATAATGATATAATATCTGGGATATGTTTCAAAATAACAATATATGGGAAAAGTGGGTAGTGGTATAATGCAGCAAGACTGGTCCTGAGTCGGTAACTGTTGAAGCTGAGTAATAAGAAAGTGGGAGATTATTCTATGCTGCATGCTTTTATATGTGTTTTAGCATTTTCAACCATTAAAAATTAAAAAGGAAAAAAGACATCTTAGGGAAAGTAAAAGGTAAGTCACAAAACTACAGAAAAGATCTTTGCAACATACTTAACTAGCAAAAGAGTAGTATTCAGATTATATTTAAAAAGTATACAATTCAATAACAAAGAAAACCCATGGTGTTCTCCACTTCAAGCAGGAAATTTATGGAGGAGAAAACCTTAAGAGATACCAACTACAAAGAAATATTTCACACTCACCCGAAAAAACAAAAATTTTCAAGTATGACAGTATTACCAGAACACTTACGTGAGGGGGTGTTCAAAATGTGTATTATATTTTAAAAAGTGCATGGATTTCAAAATTTTTGCACCAAAATAAACTCATACTTTAATTTTATTTTTCCTCATGCTTCTTGTAGTTCCTTCATACATTACTGGTTGGAGTATAAATTATAATCAACTTGGGGGAAAAATTGGCATTCCTTAGTAAACTTGAAGATGAACATCATCTGTGGCCCAGGAAAAATATGTACTAGGAAACATAAGCAAGAAATTTCATAACAATATTGTTTATAACAGGAAAAATTGGAAACAATCCCACTGCTCATCAACAGTAGAGTAGTTAAATATATTGCATGTTTTTATATAGTCATACAATAGGATACAGGAGTGGGAAAAAGACAAATAGCAAGTCTATGAATATGGATAAATCTCATTAATAAAAGGTTGAGCAAAGAAACAATTTGCAAAATAATATTACAGTAGTATTCCTCTTATTTAAATTAAGGGAACAATAAGAATAAACAGTATCTTAAGGGTACAAATACAAGAAATCTATAAGTTAAACAAAAGAATTATAACCACAAAATTTAAGATAGTGATTTTTCTCTAGATGCAAAAGGAGGGAGGTGCAATAAGGAAGGGGCACATAAGGAACTTAAGAGTATGATAATTATAAATGTTGGGTTGCCCAGACAGAGTTGATTTGCCTAGTATAGCCCTGCTTTGCCTATTTTCCTGTCATAAGGAGTAATAGCATGCTCTTTTACTTTCAAATAAGTACGGATTGGATAATAAAATATATAGACATCCTTTAAAAATAACTTTTTCCCTTTAAATTAGATAGAAGGCATATGAGTTATCACTGTATCATTCTTCATGATATTGGGTTGTCAGAAAAGTCATGACTTTTTTTTCTATGGTTTTCTAGGCAAAAATGCATCATGACTTTTCTGACAACCTAATATAATACATACATTTTACATATATTCATTTGAAAATAGTCGATATTTAATATGTAATTTTTAATTAATTAATTTTTCTTTTAGGTTTTTGCCATAGTGTGCTTGCATTCACCAGAGAGAGACAGAGAAAGGGAAAGTGAAAAATCACCTCCCCAAGGGGATGACCACACCATGCCATAATCCCTTCTTCTTTCAGGATTTTGGGCACACACTTTCACACATGCCCAGTATGATTTTCAAGGTACAGGATCCAGGACTCGAACCATGGTCAGCCATGTGGGAGTCCAGTGCATTAACCACCATGCCACCTGCTCACCACTGTAATTTTGAATATTAGCCAGTGATAACACAGTAAAAATAAACTGCATGTAGGACCCAAATGAAACTCTTATCATCTAAGTGGATGTGGGAACAAATAACTACAATGTACTCAAGCTTTGTGTTAAGCTCGTTACAAATATTACTTCATCTTTTCAGCAAGACTTTTATAATCTGCATTTTACATATAAAAAATTTAAGGTTCAAAGAGTATACATAACATAGCCAAAGTCATATCATACATGACAGCAGAATTTAAACCTAAGCAATGTGACACCAACTACATGGTTTTTTTTGGAGAGGTTTTTGCTATAGGGCACGTGCGCTCACCAGACAGAGAGAGAGACAGAGAGACCGAAAGTGAGAAATCACCCCCCCCGGGGGGGGGGATGGCCATGCCACAATCCCTTCTCCTCCATTCTCCTCTCGGGATCTTGGGTGTGCACGCACACGTGCTCGGCGTGAGTTTAAGCCACCAGGTGTGGTCAACTATGTGGGAGTCCAGTGACATAGCCATTACACTAACTGCTGGTCCCCCAACTATATGTTTTTAATCACATGCCAGAGTCCATAACTGTTATAAACTTTCTTTGTAACATTTATTTGAGGGTTTTGAAACCTATAGAGCCTTTTTAGAATAATGTTTGTAAGTGCATAAAACATTAAGCATAGGATTATAAATATAACCAATTATGATAAAATACAGTAATCAAAATATTTAATAAATGTCTACTATACCCATGATTTTTACTAATGCATTAAACAACAAATTCTAGCAGAGGGTCTAAGAATATCTATAATATTAAAGTATTGAATATCAATTGTATGTTGAGATATCTACAGCTATAGTAATGTGATAAGAAAATATTTGTCTACTTTTTATCAAATGCCAGGGTCTTACTGCTGTTCTATGGCTGAGTAGTATTTCTGTACTGTATATGTGCCACACTTTTTTAATCCATTCATCTGTTCATGGACATTTGGGCTGGAGGGTAAGTGAGAGGGAATCAAGGGGAAGAAGGACAAAATAAAACAAAAAATGGAAAGAAATCTGTTGGTTATAATGTGCATGGTAATATCGCCGACTGAATTAATATACAGTGTATTGATGATGGGAAATTTCATTTAGTATGCTGTAATGATACACAGTGATTAAATGTAAAAGAAATCTAAATTTAAAAGTATAAAAAAGGAGATATTATTTCTATAGGTTAAAAACAGTTACCAGTACTTCTAATAACACTGTAATTTATTGCTAATGTTCACAATTAAAAGAAAAGCTAAACGTCACATAGAAGTTAACAAAAATTAAGATATATTTTTTCTCGTTCAAATTCAAGACTCTCTGTTTTATTATCTTAATTCATAGAACTTCTGACATATATTTTATTTCAGAGAGATTATGCTCCCCACCTCACCTTCCATGTTTTGTTTTGAGTTAATGTTCAAAGTGTGATATACAAATAAATTAGTTTATTAGAAGAAGTATTTACCATATGCTGAATTTGAGTGAAGGATGAGAAATGAGAAAGTATTAGGATAACTACATGTAGGTATAGCCAATGGGAAGCTTAGAACTGCATTAGAGTATTTTATGCAAAAGGTTTAAAACAGGTTTTAAACATGTACTGCCACAAGCAATTCTTCATAAAAAAAAATTTATTATTGATACCACGGTGCCCTACAGCATACTATTTGTCAATACCTGTGGAACAATCAAAAAAAATTTCAAATAACTGGGCAGCTTTTAAAAGTTTTATTGGGCTAAAATCAAAACATCTGACAAGTTTTTGACTTGCCTTTCTCATGATTTAATGTCCCAGCAGAGCAACTGGGGAACCTAATTCTGACCAACAAGGAGGAATTGCTTGGCTAATTGGAAGTGACAGAAACCTTGGGAGAAAGCAACCACAAACCAAGGATAATTATAAGAAGGTAACATGGGCCCTAAAGGATAGTGTCAAGAAACCTGAAGCTGCCAAATGAGGTGAGACTTGCAAAAGAGGCTTAGAGAAGACAAAGAAGAGGCCTTTTAAAATTCTGTGCAAAGCCAGAAGATGATCAAGGAAGGGAAAAGCCCTTTTGCAACTTCTGGTGTAAGGTTAGAACTGACAGAGAAAGCAAAACTCCCTAGCTACTATTAATATTTTACTTCATTCTCTATACAGGAAACTTGAGAAATAGGATGACAGTAGGAAGAACATGTATTTATGGGGACAGGCAAACCTGGGCTTAATGCTGTGTTTCAACACTTTACATAAAATTTATAAGAAGCTACTGTCTGACAGTAGGCCCAACAGGCCAAACCAAAATGGAGTTACTCATGCTAAAGTTCCATTATCACCAAACTGAAACTAAGTTGTTTATTTGACCTTCTGAGAAATCAAGAGAGAGATAATAGCCAAATCCTTAAACACTTCAGTTTTAGCTGGCATGATAAAGAAATCCTCTATGCTTTCATACTGTAAGGAAAGTAACCTTGAAGTGGCCTATCTGCTTTTGTTCTTGATTTCTGCTTTTCTTCAGCCCCTTTCTTCTTCCTATAAAACCTACTTCCTCTGCTGAGCTCATCAGAGCACCATTCTATTTAATAGATGCTGCCTGATTCTAGAATCACTAGTATAAGTTAACTAGATCTTGATTTAAATATTTTCGGAAGCAACATTTTAATTTCCTTTTTCATGTCAGAGGGCATGTATGCACGAGAGAGAGAGAGAAGAGAAGACACCCCCAATAGGGCCTGCTCACGGTACATTTTTCCTCTAATTTGCCATTCCATCGGGATCTTGGGACATGCACATGTTATTGGCATGTTTTTCAAGTTGCCAGGGCTGAGACTTGAACGTTGGTCAGCCAAGTGGAACCCAGATTCCTCTGTGTGATACTTAACCACTGCACTATGGGCCCTGCTTACCAATTAACTCTTTAAACTAAATGTGTCCAAATGTTATCTGTTGTCAACAATTACTAGTTATATTATTCTGGGTCTCCTTTCCCCATCATCTGTAAAATGGAGATAACCATGTCCTTCTCATAAGATTGTTCTGAATAATGGAAGTAACACATTCAAAACACTGAGCCAGGCTCATGATAGTGACTCAATAAATAGCAACTTGTTAATATTGCTTAAAAGAATACAGTAAATAATGACAAAGCAATACTGTTCCCAAATAAGGGAAGAAAATCTAAAAGCATACCTAACAGTTCAAATTTATATTATTTTATCATCTGCTGTGAATAGTTTATATTCCAGGCTTTTGGGGGGAAATTATCAATGAGATTTGAAAACAATGGTCACTATTTTTGAAGAATTATAGGAAACAGAATAGGTTCCAGAACACTAAATATGGGCAGATAGCTGCATTCAGGGTAAAAAAAAAAAAGAAAATATCAACTCCTCAACTACTTGCTTTTAGATTAAGTGACTTCCATCCCCATTTGTGTCATACTCATTTGCCCCAAAGGAGAGGAAATTCTGGGGGAGGAAAAAAAAAAAAAAAGCTAAAGCTGAAAGAACAAAGATCTGCTTTGCCAAATAATCACTTAAAGTGGAGATGCAGGTCTTGATATCTAAGGTGACAAAGAATAGGTTTCTTGAATTTATTCAAAACGTCAAGAAGCAAATTTATAGGAAGGAGAAAAACTATAGTTAAACAAGATATAGCCATGCCTGGATGTGTCCATGATCCTAGCTGGCTAGAGGGCTGAGGAAAGGTTGCAGTATGAATGGAACTTGTTGGGGTCTCTCTCCTGCTCTTAAAAGATACAAATAAAAAAGATGTGGTGGATTGAATAGTGGCCCCTAAAAAAGTAAGTTCTCATGCTAATCCTAGAACCTGTGAATATTACCTTATTTGGAAAAAATGTCTTTACAGGTCTAATTAAGTCTATGGCTATGAGATAATTTGGATCATCTGATGGGTCATAAATGCAGTGACACAAATCTGTATATGAAAAACAGAAGAGAAGTCACAGAGAAGAGGAGGAGCCAATGTGACCATGGCAGCAGAGATTGGCATGATACTGCAGCAATTCAAGGAATGCCAATAGCTACCAGAAGCTGGAGGCAGCCAAGAGCAGAGTTTCCCTTAGATTCTCCAGAGGCAGTGTGGCCCAGCTGACATTTTGGTTTCAGAATCTGGCCTCAGAACTAAAGGAATGCATTCCTCTTGTTTTAAGATACCAGTTTGTGATCATTTGTACCTATGAAGTTAATACAGAGTTTAGAGAAAATCTGGTAGTATCTTAAGCAGGTTAGTTGTAGAGAAAATGGAGTCAGGATAGATTAATCTGGCTTCCTCACTTCCTTCCTATATCATCATGTTTGAAGGTCACAGAATAAACAACTCATGTTATTAGTTATAGTGCACTTATGTGCTTGTTATGTAATTATAACTTTGCAGTTTTATGCCATTGCCTGTAATACGCATGTGTGACAGTCTGGTTTGGGCAATGAGCCATTATTGTCTGCAGCTCCTTTAAGAGAAAGGGAGCATCCTCCTAGGTAGCCATGATCAGCTGGGCCTTGGTACAGCTAGGTCAGCCTACCGGCCTTGACTTCACTTGGCCTTGGCTCAGCTTAACTCAGTTTCATGCTCTGTGAGAGGGAGGAAGCATTTTGTGGGGATTCTCCTTGCACATTATAAGCTCCAAGAGCAGGAAGCACTTTCTGAGTGCTGCTAAAGCTTTGTGAGCTACTTCTGAACATAGCCAATAAACAACATGATGTCAGTGCCTCATGTCTTTTTCCAACTACCTGTGTCTCCATTCAATTCACTCTTCAGAGGAAGAAAGAATCTTGCAAAACATTAGTGTATTAGGGTTCTGAAGTAAGATAAAACCAATAGGAAATACAAATACATACTCACATGAATGTATCTATTCAAGTAAATTAAAAATGAAGATTGAATGTGAAAGATACCTAAACATATGAAGCCAGTTGGGCCACATTAATTATCTTTTTTTTTTTTGGAGAGATTTTCACTATAGGGCGCGTGCGCTCGCCAGACAGACAGAGAAAGACATAAAGACAGAAAGCGAGAAATCAACCCCCAGGGGGGATGGTCACGCCACAATCCCTTCTCCTCCATTCTCCTCTCGGGATCTTGGGCACGCACGCACACGCGCCCGGCGTGAGTTTTAAGCCACCGGGTCCAGGACGCGAACAGCGGTCGACTACGTGGGAGTCCAGCGACATAGCCATTACGCTAACTGCTGGTTCCCAACATTAATTATCTTGATTTGCCAACATAAGCAAACTTTACTTGAGCTCTTTCTTGGAAATGCACATATTAAAGAAAATCAGAACTTAAGCTCAACCAATCAAAAGCAGCCAACAAACTTGTGCACAACTGGGGACTTTCCACTAGGATAGATCAAATAAGACTACTGCATAGCTGTAACAAATCAAGTATACAGTTACTTCCATGTTCTTGGTATATAAATCTCCTCCTTCCATTCCCTCAGTGAAGCTTCCAAACCACTTCTGGTTTGGAATTGCTTGATTCATACACCATGTTTGCTCAAATACATTCTTTAAGATTTTATTGGACATCAGCTTATCTTTTTAAATAGATGATAGATAGATAGATGATATACAGATAGATAGACGAAAGGAGACATTATGGGAATTGACTTGCATGATCATGGAGATTCAAGACCTGTCTTCTACACTCTGGAAAACCAGGAAAGCCAGGGGTGTAACTCTGTCTGAGTTCAAAGGCCCGATAAGCCGGGGAGCCTGTGGTTTAACTCTCCAACACCTCACTATAGGGTGTAGGAATGCTACTATAAATCTCAGAATCTGAAGCCCTGAGAATCACAAGTTCTAATGCCCAAGGGCCAGAGAAAATAAATGTCTGGAGAGATTTTCACTATAGGGCGCGTGCGCTCGCCAGACAGACAGAGAAAGACATAAAGACAGAAAGCGAGAAATCAACCCCCAGGGGGGATGGTCACGCCACAATCCCTTCTCCTCCATTCTCCTCTCGGGATCTTGGGCACGCACGCACACGCGCCCGGCGTGAGTTTTAAGCCACCGGGTCCAGGACGCGAACAGCGGTCGACTACGTGGGAGTCCAGCGACATAGCCATTACGCTAACTGCTGGTTCCCAACATTAATTATCTTGATTTGCCAACATAAGCAAACTTTACTTGAGCTCTTTCTTGGAAATGCACATATTAAAGAAAATCAGAACTTAAGCTCAACCAATCAAAAGCAGCCAACAAACTTGTGCACAACTGGGGACTTTCCACTAGGATAGATCAAATAAGACTACTGCATAGCTGTAACAAATCAAGTATACAGTTACTTCCATGTTCTTGGTATATAAATCTCCTCCTTCCATTCCCTCAGTGAAGCTTCCAAACCACTTCTGGTTTGGAATTGCTTGATTCATACACCATGTTTGCTCAAATACATTCTTTAAGATTTTATTGGACATCAGCTTATCTTTTTAAATAGATGATAGATAGATAGATGATATACAGATAGATAGACGAAAGGAGACATTATGGGAATTGACTTGCATGATCATGGAGATTCAAGACCTGTCTTCTACACTCTGGAAAACCAGGAAAGCCAGGGGTGTAACTCTGTCTGAGTTCAAAGGCCCGATAAGCTGGGGAGCCTGTGGTTTAACTCTCCAACACCTCACTATAGGGTGTAGGAATGCTACTATAAATCTCAGAATCTGAAGCCCTGAGAATCACAAGTTCTAATGCCCAAGGGCCAGAGAAAATAAATGTCCCAGCTCAAAAATAAAGCAAATTCACCTTTATTCTGCCTTTTCTGTTCTATTCAGGCAGGTCTTCAGTGGATATCATAATGCCCACCAGCATTAGTGAGGGCAGCTCTTTCTTATTCATTACTGATTCAAATGCTAATCTTTTGTAGAAACAGCTAGAAATAATGTTTTACCAACGATCTGGAAATTCGTTAACACAGTGAAGTTGACACATTAAATTTACCATCACAAGTATTTTTTCCTGGTTCAGCGGGAATGGAAGATGATGAAGTTGGTGGTAGAGAATAGAAGAGATTTGAGGGACTTCTTGAATGTATTGTGTAAAACCAGAGTGAATTATCAAATTGTAGACCACATGATCTCTGCTTTGACAGAGATTGCCAGGATTTAAATAAGATCTGACAGGGTTACCATCCATTATCAGAACAAGAAAGCCATATGGCAGCAAAACTAAGATCCAAAGATTTCCCCAAAGCATACTTCATATGACCAGAGAGACACTGTTTCTTTTTTATTTTTCTTTGTTTTCTTTTTTTTCTCTCTCATGAGAAAAAGAGATGATGATAATAAAAATAAATAAATTTTTTTAAAAAGTCACTTAAAAAAAAAAAAGAAAAAGAGAGAAGTACCCTCAACAAAGTTTCACCACACCACAACCCTCTCCTAGCCTCCCAGCTGCCAGGAATATACATGCACATGGTCATACCCGTCATGTACTGGTTGACCCAGGCCTTCCACATGGCTCCAGTGTTACACAACAGCACCCCACTCCTCCACAACTGTAGTTAGTAGTTAGCCCAAGAGACTTTGATTGACAAGTGCCTCCCATTCCCCACCCCATTGGTCTGTAGTAGGAGTAGCAGTTACCCTTATACAGACATTTAACTCAATTCTATCCATTTTTTAAAAAGTACTTTTTCAATATTTCCAAGTAGTCACAAATCCTCAGAAATACAAACAGGATCATGGACAGATAAAGGGGTTTCGATGATATAAAATGGAGATTCATATCACCCTGCCTTCAATCTTTACCTGACTGGGATTTTATTTATTCAACAGGGATTCCTTAACACCTCTGATCTACAGCCAGGATCATGTTGGTTCTGAGAAGAATCTAAAAGGGACTTTATTTTTTTAAAGAGATATTTTTACTATATAAGGTGTGTGTGCTCATCAGAAAGACAGGGAGACACAAAGTGAGAAATCACCCCCAGGGGGTATGGCCATGCCATAATCCCTTCTCCTCCATTCTCCTCTTGGGATTTTCTGCATGCATGCACACGCACCCAGCGTGAATTTAAAGATGCCACGTCCAGGACTCAAACCACAGTTGACTACATGGGAGTCCAGTGATGTAACCATTATACCCTCTGTTGGCCCCCTAAAAGCAGGTTATTAAAGGATGTCCTGCAGTATCTATAAAAGCAAGTAGTAATCAACCCCAATACAGGATGTATTTACTGTTGATAACTTAACTCAGTCTAATTTAACTTAATTTTGGCAGTGACACCAGGATAGTGCACCAATAAAATGCAGTAGATATTATTTATCTAAGCCTAATTGATATTATTGACATTTTTCATGCTTACTTCTGAATAAGTTTTCAGGAGAAGGGAAAAGGGCATGTGTGTGTGTGTGCGTGCCCAAGATCCCAAGAGAAGAATGGAGGAGAAGGGATTATGGTGTGGCCATTCCCCATGGGGGGGGGGGGTGATTTCTCACTTTCTGTCTCTCTGTCTCTGTCTTTCTGGCGAGTGCACACACCCTGTAGTAAAAACCTCTCTAAAAAAAGGATGTTGTCAACCATGCGATCTAATGTCATAATCATAAAGAATTATGTATCTTTAAAAAACAGAGTCTTAAATCTTGTAATTTCTTTTCATTATCAGAGGACACATGCATGCACTAGAGAGAGAGAGAAGGGGAATGGAGAGAAAGCAGCCTCCACTGGGCATGGACATGCTATAATCCATTCACCTTCATTTCTCCATCATGTCAGGTTTTTAGGCATGCATGCACACATGCCCAGCATGTTTTTCCAGCCTCTGGGACCAGGATTCAAACTGGTTGGCCATATGTGCTCTGTCACCCTTAACTACTAGGCTACAGGGCAAACCTCAGGTGTCCAAAATATTATCTATAGGGTAGTATAGTATATTCAACCAGAAAGTTGGAGATCATGACTTTTCACACTAAACCCTTTTCAATGTTTTAAATTTTGTACCATGTATGTTGAACAAATTCAAAAAATAGATGCAATTTAAAAATATTTAGCTTAAAAATCTTAAAAATACATATATAACTTTTTTAAAGGAAGTAAGTAAATACTCATGATATAATAAGTGAAAGATAAGACCAGTTTTTCATTTCCTGCCATGAATGATTGAAAAATATGTAGACTGTATTACTAGAAACATTTTGGTGATTATTTTATACCATGCAGTCTAGGACTGGTTTACATGAAAGGAAAAAGGATAGTGAAGAAGCTCACCTAGGAATGGTTGAAGGAAAATGTGAATATGTAGCCTGGAATATATGTGTGAGATCATGGTGACTGTCTCTAAGAATCTAAAGTCCTGCCATGTGGAAAAGGGATCATACTGCACTGGAAGCTCTCAGAGGAAGGCGCTAGACCTGTTGGCAGGAGCTGAAATAGTAAGCCATTTCAGCTCAATGTCAAAACACTTAAGGACTCCTTCACTTGTTTATGGGCCATTTCAGTTCAATGTCAGAAAGATACTTTGTAAAAGAGCAGGACAAAAAAATGAGGGACTTCCCAGTCACTTGAAGTATAAATTCAAGCATAAATTGTCACCTACTTAATGGGACATTGTAGAAGAGATTCAAGCATCAGAAGTATGTTTTTGGTATGATTCTAGCCACAGAAAAATCATTTAAACTCTCTGGGACTTGGTTATTTGTAAAACATGCAGTTTGACTACATTACCTCCATGTTCCTTTGAGTTTTAAATTGTTTTGATTCTACATGTGTAATTACATTTGTCTGTTTTTTCCAGACTTACATATTGGCTTTTTAATCACTTGAAACACACCACATTGTACTTGTGAGAACTAATTGAGATGTTTAAAACAATTCGTGAACAGGCAAAACATTAAGCAAGTTTAAAATATCATTATACTTAAACATCATTGGCCATTAAGAAAATGCATATTAGGGGACCAGCACATGGTGTGGTGATTAAGGCACTGGACATTCCCACATGGCCAATCATGGTTCAAGTCCTGGACGTGGTGACTTGCTTTCTCACTTTATCTCTCTGTCTCTCTCTCATCAACATTTAGAAAATAAATAAATGAATAAATTTCTCCCTCTTCCTCTCTCTCTGTCTCTCCAGAAAATACAAGTGCCTTCTTGCAAAAAGAAATAAATAAAAAAGAAAGTGCAAATTAACACCTTACTGAGATATCACTACACATCTATTATAATGACTAAAAAAAAATACCGATACTAAGTTAAGATGCAGAACAACTGGATCTCTCATTCATTGCTGGTGGGAATGTAAAATGATACTGCCATTCTAGAAAATGTTTTGTTAGTTTCTTACAAAGTTAAACTTACCACACAACCCAGTAATTTAATTCCTGTATATTTACTCTCAAGTAATGAAAACTTACGGTCACACAAGAATCAGTAAATAAATATTTATATCAGCTTTTTTGAGATAGCCCAAAATGGGAAGCGACTAAGATGTTCTCCACTTTGTTAATGAATAAACTGGTACAGCCATAACATGAAATACTACTCAGCTGTCAGGAGGAACAAACTATCCATATTACAACGTGAAGGGACCTCAGGCTGTTACGCTGCCTGAAAAACACCCAGTCTTAAAACATTATATATTGTGTAATTTTGTTTATATAACATTTTCAAAATGGCAAAATTATGATGGAGCTGGATCAATGGTGCCATGGGTTAGGGGTGGGGAGAGGATGAAGGAGTAACAATAATGAGTTTTCTTGCAGTGATGGAGTAGTTCTTGCAAAATGATCCTTATTGATGTACTAAAATATGAGCCTTGGACAGTGTGAGATTATCCTGTGACAGACATTCCCAAAGTAGTTATCTGTGATAGCCTCCCTTCAAGTTGGTCCTCAGTGACCAAATACCAGCGATCCTTAGCATTCATCCCTTTGTAGTCTTCTCCCATATTAAATAGAGTTGATCTGGCCATAAAGATAAGTAACACCCAAGGCTAAGCCTTAAAAGACATTGCAGACTATACCTTGTTCTCTCTTGGATTATGTGTTCTAGATAGTCACAATGTTGTAAAGTTGTTTTATTAGCATTACGTAGAGATCTACATGGGAGGAACTAAGATCTCCCACCAATAGTCATGTGAGCATGCCATCTTTGAAGCAGACCCTCCAACCCCAAACAAGTCCTCAGTTAATAAGAGCCCAACTAAAATCTTGACATGAAAACCTAAACCAAAAGCACCCAGCCAAGTTGCTCTCAAATCCCTGACCTCCGGAAACTGAGATAATAAATATTCATTGTTATTTTAAGTTCTAAGTTTGGGGGTAATGTGTTATGTAGCAAAAGATAATACATCATAGTATATGATAGGAAGAGGAAGTAGAGTTTATTTGAATTTATTGGAGAGACTATATGAATTGTGGTATATATGCTTTTCTGTTAATAGCTTCATTTTTTTAATTTTTAAAAATATTTCTTTCTTTTATGATTAGGGAAGCAGAAAAAGAGAGATGGCACCCCCAACAAAATCTTCATGCCATGATCCATCCCCAGCCTCAGTCAACCATGGGACATGGACATGCATATGCTCCCTACATGTTCAGAGAGGTCTCTGGATGAAAAGTTGGAAGCTTCCCATGTGGGCCAGCTTTGCAGAGCATCATATTTTACTGTTGCATCACCGTGCAGCACCCTAATAGCTATTTATTTCAAAAATGTCTGTTTGAGAGGATCAACAAGAAGACCAACTAAGGATATTAACATATTCATTTTGGGAATTTCAGCAACCCACTGTCATCATTGTGTAGGCCAGAGATTATCTAAACAAAAAAATAAATAAGAAACTGTAGACTTAAATAATACAATAATAGAATAATAGACCTGACAGATACTTATAGAACATTTCACCCAACAAATATAGATTGCATGTTTTATTCAGCTGTATGTGTAACATCCTCTAAGACTGACCACAACAGAGCACAAAACAAGTCACTCCAAATGTTTCAAAAAACAGAAATACCTCTGACTACAATGGAATTAAACTTGAAATCAACAAAAAAGAACTTTTTAAATTACACAGATACATAGAAACTAAATAACATCTCCTGAACAATGTTGAAAGTACAGAAGAAAATAAAGAATGAAATTTTAAAATTTCTTGAAACAATAGCAAAAATACAACACTCAAAATCTTTGACAGAAAGTTAATGTAGTACTAAGAGAAAAGTTTATAACAATTAATGCTTATGAGAAAAGTAGAAAGATGGGGGGCTGGCAGGTGATACGGTGGTTAAGGTGCTAGAGTCCCACATGGCTGGTGGCAGTTCGAGTCCTGGACCTGGCAGCTTGCTCTCTCACTTCCCCTTTCTCTCTCTCTGTCTCTCTCTGGTCAAACTAAAAAATAAATAATAATAACAAATAAAGTAAAATAAATAATTCTAAAAAATTAGAAAGGTGGCAAATAAACAACTTAAAGATGCATTTCTGGAAACTGGAAGAATGAGAAAAATAATAAGAGAAAAGTAATAAATAGAGCAGAGATAAATGAAATACAGAACAAAATAACAATACAAAAAGTAAATGAAATGAAAGGATAAACAAAATTTACATACCTTTAGCTAGACTGAAAAAATAGAAGAGCCAAATAAATGAAACTGGAAATGAAAAAGGGCACATTACAACAGATATAGAAATGCAAATAATTATGAGGGATTGCTATGAGTGCGTATATGACAACAAACTGGAAAGCCTCAAAGAGATGAACAAATTTATGAATACATATAATATACCTAGATTAAACCAGAAAGAATAGAAAACCTGAAAAGACCAAAAACAATTAACAAAATTGAGTCAGTAATAAGTAGACTCCTAGCAAAAAGAAGTCAGGGTACAGATAGCTTTACTGCTGAATTCTACAAATTCTTTATAAAAATAATTAACACTGATTCTCCCGAAACTATTCCAAAAGATCCAAATGGAAGGATTCCTTATTTTACAAAGCCATCAGGATCTTGATACCAAAAGCAGACAATGACACAACGTAAAAGAAAACTACAGACCAATATCCCTAATGAATATAGATGCAAATATATTCAACAAAATACTAGCAAATAGAACTCAACAACACATTAAAAAGATTATACACCATGACCAAGTATGCTTTATCCCAGGGCTACAACATATGCAAACTAATATATGTATACATCACATTAATAGAAGAGAGGACAAAAACTATATGATGATATCAATTGATGCAGGAAAAACATACGATGAAGTAAAACATCTCTTAATGATGAGGAGTCTCAACAAAATAGGGGTAGAAGGGACATTGTTTAACACAACAAGTCTATAAATGATAAACCCATATATAACATCATACTCAATAGGGAAAAGTTGAAATTTTTTCCTCTTAACACTGGAGCAAGACCAAATGCCTAATTTTTTCACTTTTTAAACATAAAACTGAAGTCCTAGCCAATGCAATTGGATAAGAAAATAAAATGAAAGGTACACAAATTGAAGAGGAAGAGTTAATGTGTCCCTCTTTGTGGATGACATAGTTATATACACAGAAAAACCTAGTGCATTTACTAAAAAAAAAAAACTTAAATGTGATAAACAAAATAGGTAAAGTTGAAGGATATAAAATCAACATACAAAAATCTGTAGCATTTTTGTGCACTAATAATAAATGGACTAAGACAGAAATGAAGAAAGCTATGCTATTCACAACACACATACACACACACACACAAATACCTAGGAATAAATCTAATTAAGGAAGTGAAAGATGTCTATTATGAGAATTATGAAAAATTGAATGAAGAAATAGAAAAAGGCAAAAATAGAACATCTCTTATTCATGGATTAGAAAAATTAATATTGCTAAAATGTTATTACCCAAAGTAACCTAATAATTCGATATAATCCCTGACAAATACCAGTGACTTTGTCCACAGAAATAGAAAAAACAATTCTAAAATTTATCTGGAGTCACAAAAGATCTCATATTGCCAAAGCAATACTGTGAAAAAGAGTAAAGTTGGAGATATCTTACTATTTGATGTCAAAATTTATTTTGAAAAGTCTTAGAACCAAAATAGCATAGTACAGGCACAAAAACAAACACTATGCATGCAACAGAATAAAAAAAATTAAAAATAGGGCCAGCATGTGGCATAGTGGGAGAAAAATATTTCCAAACTATATTTCAGATTAGGGATTGATAATCAGAATATGTAAGAGCCTCAAGCACCTCACCCACAAAAATACTAATAATCTGATTAAAAGATACTCATCTGAACAGAAAACTCTCAAAAAGGTATTAAAATGGCTAAAAAGCATATGAAAATACATTCAACATTTCTTATCATAAGGGAAATGCAAATCAAAACCACAATGAGGGGGACCAGCAGTTAGCATAATGGCTATGTCACTGGACTCCCACGTAGTCAACCATGGTTCGAGTCCCGGACCCGGTGGCTTAAACTCACGCCGGGCACGTGTGCGTGCGTGCCCAAGATCCCAAGAGGAGAATGGAAGAAAAGGGATTGTGGCGTGGCCATCCCCCCTGGGGGGTGATTTCTCGCTTTCTATCTCTCTGTCTCTCTCTGTCTGTCTGGCGAGCACACGCGCCCTAAAGCAAAAACCTCTCCGAAAAAAGAACATAATAAGGCAACACCTAACTATAGTTAGAATGACTATCATAAAACAAAACAAATCACACACACACACAACTAAGAATAACAAATAACAAATATTGTTGAAGTGACAGAGAAAAGGGAACACTTTTGCAATGCTGGTGGGAATGTTGATTAGTACAACTACTGTGGAAATCTGTATGGAAGATCCTTAAAAACAAAAGTACCATATGACTCAGGAATCTCATTTTCGAGTATTTACCCAAAGGACAGGAAATCACTCTATCAAAGAGATTTGTTTGTACATTCATGTTTATTGCAACATTATTTGTAATAGCTAAGCTATGGAATCAGCCTAACATGCCCAATAACTAATGACAGGTTTTAGAAAATGTGACACAGCTACACAATTTGGTACTACTTAGCCATGGAGAACAATACGCTCTCATTTGACACAAAGTGGAAAGACTAGAAGATATAATGCTAAGTGAAAGAAGGCAGGCTATCAAAGCAACTACTGTGTGCCCCTGCTTACTATATAGCGAATGTTCATGCTCTATGGCAGAAACTGTGGGACCTGATGACATAGAAGTAGAGAGAGTGATGATAGGTACTAGAAGTTGCATGGGGGTTGGGTGAGGTGATTCAGGAGAAAATGACCAATGGATACATGAATGCATGTAAATGAGTGGAATAGGTTATGGAATAGTGTATCATAGTAGAGTAAAAAATGTGGTTGACAATTTAATATATACTTAAACTGGTAGAGCTAGTATCAAATGTGCACGACACAACATAATGTTCAATGTTGAAGAATGAGAATATGTCTATGTCTTTGATTTGATTATTACACATTGTGTGCATGCTTTGAAAAACAATACTGTATCCCACAAAGGTGTACAATGATTATATGTAAGCCAGACATCATAAATAAATAAATAAATAAGTCTATCTGTATGACTGAACTTGGTCTGAGACTTGTTTCATTTAAACTTAGTAGCCACTCCCTTCACTTATCTCAACAGCTGATTGCTAGTTTATCTGTCAAAAAAAGCAAAATTTTTATGACCAAACTGATTTACATTAATTTGCAAGAGAATCCTGTAGATTTTTTTCTCCCTATGATAGCTTGATTCTATACACTTTTCTTCATTATTCAGTCCACCTGGACTATTACAATAACTTCTTGATGCATTTATTCGCATATATTGGTCTTCTTCCATCCCATTGTCAACATTAAAATTGGAATAGTCCTTTTAAAACACAAATCTATTCATATAATACTACCACTGCTCCTACCACCTATTTAAAATCTTTCAGTGCTTAGAAAAGGTCATAAGGTAAAGCCTGAACTTAACATGACTTCTAAAACTCCTTCCAGGTATGGACCTACTGACCTTTCCAGCCTGGTTTTGCACTCTTCTCTCTCTTCTCTTTCTGTGACCCCAGCTCACACTGGCCTTCTTTCAATCACTGGTACTCTTCTTATTTCTATTCACGGCAGAGGATTTGTGTGTGTGCCTTGAAATCTCTTCCTTTCCTCTTTGTCTAGTTCAAGGCTGCACACATCCTTTATATCTAGTACATGTGACAGGTCCTCAGCAAAGCATCCCATAATCTTTCTGATTGGTTCATAGCATCATAGAATCCTCCTTTGCACACCAGTCACATTGCAAATTTACATTTGTTTGTGTAATTATTTGATTAATGCTCGTGTTCAGCGCTAGACCTCACATTCTATAAAAGCAAGTATCATATGGGATATAACCCATTCATGTAAGCCCTGAAGCCTACCACAGTGCTGAGAACATAGTACACATTTGATAAATATTTTATGAGAAATGAATAACTGATTGACTAATTTAATGAGGTCTGGGTTCTCTAAATGTTGTTTTAGAGCCAAAATATGAAAGTTCACATTCTTGGCAGCTCCTAACTATGGAATGTTGAAACAGTTTTACCTTACTGTTTCTTAAATATGTTCTCTGTAAACTGAGAAAAATAATTACCTTAAAGAGTCTTGAAAGGATTAAATGAGTTAATGTATGTATAGAACCTAAAGCAGTTCTTGACACAGTAAGTACAATATATGGCAGCTGCAGTTATTATTATGAATATATCTAGTCATTATGTCTTACTGGTTCCTTAGGCCATGACCACCACTTCCAGTCCATTCTTTTTTGTGGATGCCAAATTTCAATTATTTGTATAAAAATAAGAAACTGTCAAAGACACAAATTGAGAATGGGAGTTTGTAAGTCTTGTTGGGCTATCCAAACTTGACTTAGGTATAAAATGATACTATTACTCCTCATATCACTGGTATTTATTGGATAATTTGCTACTTTTACAAAAAGACTAAGGGAGCAGGGTTGGTATTAAATGAGAACCTCTATATCTGTCTTTTAGTGGTGCATCAGAAAGACATGTCTGCCATCTCTCTTTTTGCATTGGTTACTTACTTGTAGGGATTAATTTTGATTAGAGCCTCAAATAATTGCAGCGTGGGACCAGCAGTTAGCATAATGGCTATGTTGCTGGACTTCCACATAGTCGACCGCAGTTCGCGTCCCGGACCAGGTGGCTTAAACTCACGCCGGGCATGTGTGCGTGCGTGCCCAAGATCCTGAGAGGAGAAAGGAGGAAAGGAGGAGAAGAGATTGAGGCGTGG